GCATTGGCCTGTTAAACCCAGGATTGTGAGTTCAGTCCTTGAGGGGGCCATTTAGGGATATGGGGCAAAAATTGGGGATTGGTTCTGCTTTGAGCAGGGGGTTGGACTAGATGATCTCCTGAGGTCCCTTCCAACCCTGATATTCTATGATTTGTTAGTCTGTAAGGTGCCACAAGGACGCCTTGTTGTTTTTGCTGATACAGGCTAACACGGCTGCTACTCTGAAACCTGCCTTCACTATGACAGTCATTATCGCTGCTCCATAATTACAGCGGCACATAGCCCCAATCAAGGATCAGGCTCTGACCCAGAGATTTGACAGTATAGGTTTATGACAAGATGTCCCAGGTGGACGGAGAGGGAGGTGAGGGAGAAGGAGCTCAAGGTGACAGCAAAAGGAGCATGTTTTTGCATAAGATGCAGTAGAAGTGAAACTGATGATGAGTAAAGTGGTCTCGCTCTCTCTGTTTCTGCTGAGAAACAAGCAGAAAAAAGAAGCAAGGCCATCAGTGGCAAAAAGGAAATTAAATGAATAATCTGAGGTGGGGTAGCAACAAAATTCATTTTTGCCTCCTGTGATTTGTATCCCTCTTCTGATCCATCAAAGCATTTGTAAGGGAACAGCAATACTGCATGTTTGTTAAGTCTGGCCCAACTTCCCAAGAGCAAGGGCAGAAAATCCGCCTGCTACTCATTCACATGCTTCCCAGCCACTTTAGCCTGGCTCGTACAAGGAAGGTTGGTGAAAACATGAGGGAACATGGAAGCCATCGCTTTCTTTGCTATCCGTGTTTGCCCACTGGCATCTCTGCTCTGTGATAATGTGGCTTTATCAATTACACCTAAGGAGTCATCGTTCAGATCCAGTTTGCCTGCACGTATAATCCTCCTTTGTAGACTGTTACTTCAGTGATTTCTCAGGTCATGCGTGTCATAAAGGAGAGATTTGGTGGCTTTAAGTTAATAACCTGCTGAAGACTTTTGGACAGCAAATGGTGTCCAGAGATACTGTGTGTCTAAGCCCCCAAATCACCTTGGATCTAGAGCCAATAAATGGTCAAATGAAGGTATAATCCAAGTATTTCTATGAGCTGAAGGCTGATATCCAATTTACATAGAAACTCAGCAGCTAGTGAGGAGCGGGTGGCATTTGATAATACTAAGTACTTCTGTAAATGCCACTCTGGTTAGCTGCCTGTAATAACACACTCCTCTTCCACAGAATCTTTCATTTTAGGACCTAAAACAATTTACAGACTTTAATGAAACCCCATAACACTGCTCTGAGATGGGCAAGTATTAAACCTATTTTACAGACTGAGAACCTAAGCAACAGAGTACTTAAAGGTCCAGGGTCACCCCGTGAGTCTGTGACAGAGCTGAGAATAGGACCTAGGAATCCTCCTTTGTCTTGTGTGCTAAGACTTCACTCCTATAGAAAGGAATAACAGAACTGCTTCATCCCCCCCACCCCCAAGTCAAGTCACTAGAACCCAGGTCATCCCTAAGGGCTGTTCCGTTTCCAGATGGGCAGACAAAATAGAAGGAACTTTCAGTAGAAGTAAGAAGGAGAGAGGTAAAGTCAAAGATTGACTCTGTCTTCCTACAGCCTGCCTGTCTTTGCTGTAGGCAGGGAGGCAAATGTAACCATGCACTTCATATGGACAGGTGCTGGTGACAGTGGCTCATTTATGGGCAGAGGTAATAGCCCTGCCAAACACCCGTGGTATGGGTGAGTAAGAAACATGCAAGGCTTTCCTGATCAGTAGTTCTTGGGCTAGCACTGAGGATGGGAGAGGGGCAAATCCAAACCTTAATTTAAATTTGTTGTTCCTCTCCACCACATACAATTGGTTTTGCTATAATCTTCTGACAGTAAGAAGGATCCTAATCTGTCTGGGGGCGATTATCTCCTTCCAACAAAACCCCTCCCTCCCATTGCTGTATTTAGCCTCTTCACAGAGATCCAGGGGGTGCATTTGCTGTGATACAGAGCTCTGAATGCGTCAAAACTGGAAACTTGGCTGCAAACCCCTTTTGAAATTGGAGCTGGAGAATAATGTGATCCTAACCCATCTGTATGTTTTGATTCTGGGCTCAGATCAGAAGATGGAAGTGGTCTGTGTTCTGGTTTTGGATTGTATGCAACTGAAATCTTGGGGTAAGATCTTGTGAGAACAGCTCATGAGACTTCAGTGCAAACAAATCTGGCTCCAAACCCTAGTCCTGAATGGACTTCGAGCCTGACTCCCGAGTTCTTGTTTCAACCTACCCCAGATCCAAACACAGTCTTCTTGACCCACCTCTAATCTGCTTCCTTTACTCCTCAGAATTCTGCCCTGTGCGATTAGAAGATGAAGCAGATGCAGAGGCTATAAAGAAAAAGGCAGACAATTGTGCAACTTGATCTGAAAAGCCACCATGGTGCAAGTCAAAAGTGTTGTGACATTTACATAGAGCAACTGGTGCTATCCCTTTGAGCTATAGGCTCTGGCAGTGTTTGGCTCTGCATTGGAGGGGGAGGAGAGGGCAAGGGATTTCTTGCCGCTTTTTTAATTTAGTCGTCCTACTCTTGTTCTCCAGCCATGTACATGAGAAGAATTGTTAATCTGCCTGTTCATAGTTCTGATAATTAAAAATGCAAAGCAGCCTGTTTGTTTCCATGTCATCTTGAACCCACTTTGGAAACCACTATAATCAAGTGGCTTCTTTATGACAATCCAAAAAAGGAGTCTGATCAAAGGAATCATGTGAGAGCTTTCGTGCAAAAGGGGATAACACCAAAAGACTTGATTGCTTCCTTGAGAAGCAAGAGGCAACATTCTTCAAAGAAGGCAGCTAGCTAATTGGAAGTCTTGGCTACAGATTCTGAGAGCAGTGAATTAGCTGCTCCTGGGATTTGGCTGAAGGCACAGGTTGCATGGCCAAAGCTCAGGAGCTCCATATGGGCACCCCCACCAATGAAGATGTCACTGAGCAGGCATTTTATCCAGTTCAGGAGGAGACTCTCACAATCCTGCAGTAGTTTAATATGCGGCTCAGCGAGCGCCCTCTGGAGTTACGGCCGTTAGTCATTTCTCACGGATCCCAGCTGATGGCAGCCTATGGCAAAAGCAAGGAGAGAATCCTTGCCAAGGCTGAGCCTTTGCCAAGACCTGATTGCAGCAAATTGCAGATCACAGGTGTGGTAAAAGCTGAGAATTGGCAAACAAAGCACCTCTAAGTTACACTAGTTACACGAGGCACGCTTTTTTCAGACATTCAAAAGTATAGGTTGTCCCAGCTTTAAATTTCTTTGCATGCTAATTTGCAAAGCCCTCCCCATAACACAGTATACCCCAGTAATTTGCCTTTGCAGCAAGTTTAAGCTACCTGTTGTTCCCAACCATGGTCTCAGCAACGTCATCATATTGGTGAGCGGACCTGTTGCTTGTGAAATATGGTATTTGAACAATATTCACAAATGTTTAAGCATTATGATTAGTTTCTTTAGTTTATCTTATGTTGGACAGGGGAGGGGGAAGAGCTGGTTTTCTGTAGATTCTGGAATCTACTTGTTTTTGCATGGATCCTGTGCTTAGGAAATGCCACAAAAACTCATTGAGATCCTCTCCTCTTTCAAAAGTCGTGAAGCACTGGGGGTTTCTCCAGGCCAGTGACATTGATTAGCAGAGTCACACGAAGGATGTTAAGTGGTTCTTTAACGATAAACAATAGGGAGCAATTGGGGTAATATACGTTGCAAGCCCCCAAAGGATGTGAATAAATCAGAGCCCTGGAGATCCTAGGTCCTAATAAAATAAGAAGTCTGAGCTTCTAGTTTAGCATCCACTCCCTTGTGCTATTCAGTACCCAATGGACCTTCATTTGAGAGGCACTAGACACTGTCATCGCTGCAATTGGAGGCGTGACTGTCGCCTCGCCCAGGGGCAGCCTGGGAGCTCCCTGGTGTCTCCTGGCAGTTGGAGCCCTGTGTAGGTTTGAAGAGGAGGCTCTGTCCTGCTAGCAGTGGGACACTTGTCTGAGTAGATGTGCAGAAGGGAGGGGAGGCCACTTTGTTCATGATCTGGGACCGTGGAGTTGGGACGTTCGGGTTCTGTGCTCCGGCTGCTTTACTGCAGGCTGCCTGTGTGATTTCAGGCAGGTCCCCTTTTATTCTAGTTTCCTGATCTATAAGATGGAGCTGATGTGTTTTTTCTCATAGATATCTTGCAAGGCTCCACGAGTCAGGCTGTGAGAGCACTGCGAGATCTGCAGGTTAAAGAGAAGGACAGACTATTATTATTGCTCAAAACTAAGAGCCCGGGTGAAAAGGTGTGGAACCAGTGTAAGGAATTGGCCCCATCGTGTGGCACTCTGATAATACGACCACTTCCCTGAATCCCACTGTGCTTTTGGATTATGGATTGTGCATTTAACTGAAAAAACACATTTTGAAACTAACTCTGTGCCCTAATCTGTAGCCTTCCTTCTGAGATTCCCCAAGCGCTTTATAGATACTCATGAATTTAGCCTCCTCACTCCCTGCTCTCCCGCCCCACTTACTGATTTTCAGTTCTGTTCTTAAGCCCTAAGAGCAGGCTTGCTTTCTGCCTTAGGAGTGTCAAAGCAGCATGTGCATGGATCGCTGATTTGTGTACAGTTTGTATTTAGCTGCTCTGCATTTCCTTTTTACGCATCTGCAGAATGGGAATAATGATGGCTCCCTCGCGGGTCTGTTCTGGAGTTTAACGAACGTAGAGAAGGCACTTTGAGATCCTGAAATGGAAGGTTCTATAGGAAATGCCAGTCATTGTAAGCAGAAAAGCCCTGCTGTTTAACCATGCACCTTGGTGACTGTGAGAAATGCGAGTGGTTAGAGTGGGCTTGTTAAGTCAGCTCATTTGCAAGTGTATCTCAAAGAAGAAAGCTGCACCTGCAGTGGCCTGCCCCCGTCCTGCTGCTGCTCTGGCGTTGGGTGTGTGGTTTTAATTGTCCTTTGTTTTCTGTGCCCTTTGCAGAGTCCCCCCCAGAGAGGGCCGGGCAGCGGCGCAGCATGCCCAGCGGGGTCATGGAGAAAAATCCCAGCATGGAGCCCACCACCACGACGCCATTCCGTGTCACGGTAAAAGTCTCTCGCCACCTTCATTACCTCTCTGGGGTTTGACCATGTCAGGGTTCCCTCCCCACTCTGAACTCTAGGGTATAGATGTCAGGACCCGCATGAAAAGCCCCCTAAGCTTATTTTTACCAGCTTAGGTTAAAAACTTTCCCAAGGCACAAATTGTGTCTTGTCCTTCAACAGTATGCTGCCACCACCAAGTGATTTAGACAAAAAACAGGGAAAGGACCACTTGGAATGCCGATTTCCCCAAAATATCCCCCCAAGCTCTTAAGCCTCCCCAGGAAAGGGGGTGTGAGAATAAACAAGATAAGCACAGACCAGCCTTGGATTTTTAAGATCCAAAAAACCCAATCAGATTCTTAAAAAACAGAACTTTATTAGAAGAACAAAAAAAGATAAGAGAACAACTCTGTAAGATCAGAATAGAAGATAATTTTACAGGCAGTCAGATTCAAAACATAGAGAATCCCTCTAGGCAAAACCTTAAGTTACAAAAGGACCAAAACCAAGAATACTCATTTCCTCCAGCACAGCGAATTTCACAAGCCAAAACAAAGAAAACCTAATGCATTTTCTAGCTAGATTACTTACTAACTTTACGGGAGTTGGAGGGCTTGCATCCTTGATCTGTTCCCAGCAAAGATATCACACAGACACACACAAGCCTTTTTCCACCCCCTCCAGATTTGAAAGTATTTTGTCCCCTCATTGGTCGTTTTGGGTCAGGTGCCAGTCAGGTTACCTGAGCTTCTTAACCCTTTACAGGTAAAAGGACTTTGCCTCTGGCCAGGAGGGACTTTATAGCACAGTATACAGAAAGGTGGTTACCCTTCCCTTTATATTTATGACAGACCAAGAGGAGAGTTTATCTGTCGCTGTTTGTGCTTAGAGATGAGAGGGCCATGTTTGCTTCGATTGCTTATTTTTACATAAAGGTGCAGATGCTAGTAGCTATTATTAGAATACACAGCTGTAAAGACCTTCTCAGTAACCTTCTAAGATTTAATTTAAATCAGGGACTGTCTTTCTTTAGATTTGTATGTTGTTTCCCAGTGACGTCTGTGGAAGCACAGACTCTTGGTGTTGCCTTGAAGATAAGGTCTGAGATCTTCATTTTGTCTTACGTTAGAATTTGCACAGAGGTGTTTGTTACTGCTCCCCTCCTTGTCCTGACTGAGTCAGCTCTTCTCCATAGCATCCCATACATAGGTGTTCTGAACAGATTGCATTATGTTCCGCCTACAGGCTGAGCTTTCTGAAAGAATAATATGAAAGCCCAATAATTATATGGGTCAGGAACAAGCTCTGTTGACAAATGGGAGGTACAACCATGGAAGCAAAATAAACCATTTTAAAACTAGGCTGTAATGATCCAGCCAAGAGAAGCCATTTTTTTAAAAGTATCCTCATCCTGGCCCCATCTGTAGTTAATGAAACAGAGCGTGTATGTTGGGGAATGCAGGATTCATAATCAATTGAGGGCACCAAGGTCTTTGGAGTAACCTTCAATAGCAATAATTTACGAGGAAAATCTCTTCACAGCTCTCTCTGCAGAAAGTGTAAGCTTAAAGTGTAACTAGCTAGAAACTGATACACCAGATCTGTGCACTGGCCAAGGCACTTAAAGGGGCACATTTTCAAGAGTGGGGTGTGTGTTGTGCCCAGAGAATAAAGCTGCACATCGTGTTTGTATGTATGAGACAGTCATGTACTCTAGGAGCTGGCTTTCACAGTATGTTTCTGCATTTTCTCTGTGTGATCACACATACTATACAGGACCAGACACTACGAGCACTCAGATTGTATGCAGGGGCGGGACATGGTAAGCCCAGATATGCAGGGCCAGAATTTCAAAGGAAGTACAATGGGTACAATCTCAAAAATGCGAGCACACCCAGTTCACTTTCAGAAATCCCCACTGATTCATAGCAATTATCTTTGAGAACTCCTGGAGGACAAGTGAGGTCCCATGGACTGGAAAACGATAAACATAGTACCTCTCTTTAAAAAGGGGAAGAAAGAGGACCCAGAGAATTACAGACCAATCAACCTAACTTCAATATCTGGGAAGATACTGGAACAAACTATGAAACAATCAGTTTGTAAGCACCTAGAGCAGGGGTCAGCAACCTATGGCACGCGAGCCAATTTTTAATGGCATGCTGCTGTTTGCCAGACCCGGGCAGACAGCAGCGTGCCACTAAAAATCCGGCCTGGCCCGGCCCGCTCTTTTCCGTCCACCGCTCTCTCCTTGCAGGGCAGGCAAGCTTCCCTCTCCCCCGGCCTCTTCTCCTCCTCCTCCCCCCCCCCCCCCCGCTGGATTCCTGCCCCTCCTTCTCTCCCTCCCTGCAGCCGATCAGCTGACAGTCCTTGCTAGGAGGGGGAGAGGTAAAAGCGGAGCTGCAGCGTGCTCTCTGTTCCGGGGACCTTGGGGAAGGGGTGGAATCAGGGCATATCCCCTCCAGCCCCCTGCCGTGAGCTGCTCAGGGCGGGGTATGGGAGCACCCCCACGACCCCAGCCCTCTGCCCTGACTCCTGCACCCCCACACGTACCCAGCCCCCCTACACCCCATGTCCTGACTCTTGTACCCCCCACATCCCCACTCCCACCCCTTGCACCAAATGGGAGCTCCTGCACCCCTCGCACCAAATGGGAGCTGCCCAGGTAAGCGCTCCACACCCAAACCTCCTGCCCAACTCTGAGCCCCCTCCCTCATTCTAGCTCCTGGCCAGACCCTGCACCCCAACCCCCAGCCTGCTCCTTCACCCCCAGCCCTGTTCTCAGCACACTCCCACCCTCATCTCAGTGCAGAGAGGAAGAGAATGGCTAGAACCAGGGAGAAGGTAGGTACCTACTCTATGTGGACAGGGCCGGGACTCCAGACCGGCAGCAGGCTGAGCGGGGCCAGCAGCCGGGACCTTGGCTGGCAGGAGCTGGGGAACAGAACCCCAGACTGACAGTGGGCTGAGCCACTCAGCCCACTGCCGGTCTGGGGTCCTGGCCGCCGGCCCCCTCAGCCCACTGCCGGCCAAGGTGAACGGAACCCCAGGCCAGCAACCGGCTGAGCGGGCTGGCGGCATAAGATCAGCATTTTAATTTAATTTTAAATGAAGCTTCTTAAACATTTTGAAAACCTTGTTTACATACAACAGTAGTTTAGTTATATAATATATAGACTTATAGAGACCTTCTAAAAAATGTTAAAATGTATGACTGGCACGCGAAACCTTAAATTTAAGTGAATAAATGAAGACTCGGCCCACCACTGCTGAAAGGTTGCCGACCCCGACCTAGAGGATAATAGGGTTATAAAGAATAGCCAGCATGGATTTGTCAAGAACAAATCATGCCAACCCACCCTAATTTCGTTTGACAGGTTCCTGGCCTAGTGAATGGGGGGAAGCCATAGATGTGAAATACCTTGATTTTTAGTAAAGCTTTTGACACAGTCCCACATGACATTCTCATAAGCAAACTAGGGAAATGTGGTCTAGGTGAAACTACTATAAGATGGGTGCACAATTGGGTGAAAGATATTACTCAGAATAGTTACCAATGATTTACTGTCAAACTGGGAGGGCACAACTGGTGGATCTCACAGGTGTCAATCCTGGGTCCAGTACTATTCAATACAATGGAGTGGAGAGTATGCTTCTAAAAAATTTAGATGATGCTAAGCTGGGAGGAGTTACAATCACTTTGGAGGACAAAATTAGAACTTGACAAATTTACCGCAAGGACAAAATTACCTTGACGAATTAGAGACTTGGTCTGAACTTAAGATGAAATTCAATAAAGACAAGTACAAAGTACTTCACTGAGGAAGGCAAAAATCAAATGCACAATTACAAAATGGGGTCTAACTGGCCATGTGGTCATACTGCTGGAAAGGATCTGGGGGTTGTAGTGGATCACAAATTGAATGAGTCAACAATGTGACACGATTGTGAAAATGGTCAATATTTTGCTGGGGTGTATTAACAGGTGTGTCGTCACGTAAGATGCGGGAGATAATTGTCCCGCTCTACGTGGCACAGGTTGGGCCTCTGCTGGAGCACTGTGTCCAATTCTGGCACCACATGTTAAGAAAGATGTGGATAAACTGGAGAGCCCAGAGGAGAGGAACAAATTTTATCAAAGGTTTAGAAAACCTGGGCTCTGAGGAAAGGTTTAAAAAAATTGGGAAGTTCAGTCTTGAGAAAAGAAGACTGAGGGGAACCTGGTGATGCTCTCCATGCATGTTAAAGGCTGTTATAAAGAGGACGTCCTCAATTATTCTCCATGTGCAGTGAAGGGAGGACAAGAAGTAATTGGCTTAATCTGCAACAGTGGAGATTTAGGTTCGATATTAGCAAAAGCTTTCTAACTCTAAGGCTAGTTCAGCTCTGGAATAGGCTTCCAAAGGAGGATATGGAATCTCCATCATTGGAGGCTTTGAAGAACAGGTTAGAAAAAACCCCTGTCAGGGTGATCTAGGTTTACTTGGTCCTGCCTCAGTGCAGGTGACTGGACTTCTCGAGGTCCCTTCCAGTCCTACATTTCTATGATTCTGTGCTGCACTGGAAGCTGTTTGTCTATGGAGCCCATTTTGCACGTGTAAATCGTAGTTGTGTGAGCGCATGTGGACCTTTTTGGGTCTGCATACTCTAGAGTTGTCATTTATGTTAGTACATAAATATGCATGGCCATGTTCATCTGTACAGTGCTATTTATAAACTAATTACTCACGGGAGTAAGGAGTGGTGATAAGAGCAGCAATTAGGAGACGGGAGAACTGGGTTCACTTTCCTAGCATTGCCACTGACTTGCTCTCTAACTTTTTGGGCCAGTCACTTAACCTCATTGTGTTAGGTTCTCTGACTGTAAAATGAGAACAATGGGGCAGACAGTTGTAAAGCTCTTTAAGATCCTCCTGTCAGATGAAAGGCATTCGCTAAGGGGACAGTCCTATTCATGCATGTGTGCAATGTTGTGCATATCCGCAAACTGCATAAGACAC